AACCAAAAACTTTAAAAAAATAAATGATACTAAGTATTACCCTCTAGTTAAAGATAAACAAAAGCTCTAAGGTAGTAAGTTATAATGTAACTAGGAGGTCATGTATAGAATGACCTCTGAGAAAGTAACATTTCACGGATCTGTCCTGTGCATGCGTGCGTGCGTGCGTGCATGCATGTGTGTGTGTGTGTGTGTGTTTGAGATGGAGTCTCACCCTGTCACCCAGGCTGGAGTGCAATGGCACAATCTCAGCTCACTGCAACCTCTGTCTCCCAGGTTCAAGCAATTCTCCTGCCTCAGCCTCCCAAGTAGCTGGGATTACAGGAGCGCACCATCATGACTGGCTAATTTTTTGTATCTTTAGTAGAGACAGTGTTCAACATGTTGGCCACACTGGTGTCATTTGTTTTAAATTGGTGAACTCAGGTTAAAATCCAAATAAATTTTCTAGATTCTTAAATTATGTATATACTAAACTTGAATGGAGAAGTTATTCTGATCATGTACATCACTCTGCTTAGTGATCAATTCCAATTGCAATTTAACTTCTAAGTCAGTCACTTTTCATTATTTGAGGAATCAGAGTGTCCTCATGGTGGTCTTCACACTGGAACTGCAGATTCATAGGTATTCAGACAGACATGTGGTTGCCAAGGGTGACTGAAGGCATTTCATTCCTTAATGACATATGGGCTTTAATTTTTTACATTTTTATTTTAAATGTTTACACAATTGTCTTACATTGCAATTTGTTAGCCTGATCCTTCCTTCTGCATCAGAGAAATGTCATTTTAAGATATTTAAGAACGCCTCCACCATGTCTCTGCCTTCTGTTCCAAACCTCATCTGGGTTAATTTCCAAGTTATAAGGAAATTGATCTATCAACTCTAAAAATTATACTTCCCACATTCTCACAAGATCTGGCACTAAACACATATGAACACATACACATTTATCATTTTGTTATTACTTTGTGAAAATGTATCATTAGACTTCCATATTAGGTTTGTTATATAACTTTCATGAACTACACAATGTACTCAAAGCTATTATTGCAAAATGGACAGTGTGTCTTTTCATTACCACCTGTGATTCAGACGTGAGGGTTCAGAACAGACAAATAACCCTCCTTTGGTTTTCTGTGAAACATCTACAAAAGGGATCTTTATTCTTGCAGCTGAATTCTTACATTTTAACATTCAATTTTTTTAGGTAAGCAGGTTCACAGCATTTTTCCCTAGTAACATTCCTATGAATATCCAAAATGTCAGAAAGCTATTATTACAATTTAAATAAATACTTGAATGGATCCAAGATGGCCAACTAGGAACAGCTCTGGAGTGCAGTTCCCAGAGAGAACGCAGAGGGTGAGTGATCACCGCACTTCCAAACAAGTTTTTACTGCCACAGGCCAGGAGATTCCCAGGTAGAAAAGGGCCACAAATCTCCAGCACAGCAGTTTCAGCTGGTGCAGCGGGTCTCCACACAAAAACTCATATAAATCTGGGTGGCCCTTTCAACTGGTGCCTGAAACACCTGGGATACAGAGTCACCCATTCAACTGAAAAAAAGGGGCTGAAACAGGGAGCCAGTGATCTTGCTCAATGGGTCCCAACCC